GACCTCACTTCCAAGCACTAAAAAAAGCCAAACTGCTTTAGAAACAATGGCACTGAAGTATCTCCTTACATGCAAGGGTGCTGCTTGCGCCTCAGTTCCACTGCACTGCTATGTGCCAAAAGCATCCAAGCGAGGAAAGCAGGCATGGGAGCAGCTTCATCTGTGAGTGGAAATGGGCTTCACCTGCAGTGAACTTGTTCCTTTTGCTTCATGTAATGGAAACAGGAGAAATGTATTTTTGGACAAAGAATTTCTAAACAATCTTATAAGGGATTTTTTTTTAAAGAGGAAAAACAAAGGTGCAAGATTAAATGTATGTTTACTTGCCCCAGATCAAAGGTTTTGAACACTAAGATCACTCTCTTTTGAATGGACCCTCCTGTGTCTTCAGGCATTGGAACTTCCTGTCCTTTTTCTGTTTACCATTTTATTTTAACTCTCTTGTTTTCCCCTAGGAGAAGTATCTATACAAAAATTACAAGCAATTAAATATTCAAGCCATAAAATCATGAGTGTGGGAATACCTGCTTCACAAATTTTAACATTTGTATTTAAAATGATGTTTGTATGAAATATTTTCATTAATGAATATTTAAACAAAAAAGTTCCAGTAAAATCTAAACCAGATTTAAAGGGATGTCTTTTTGTAAGATGCACGTGTAATTGAATACCAGTAAGTAGATAATTTTTCTTTTATTTTTTTTTTCTAAGGGGAGATGCAACAAATGATCCTTACAATTACAAATTATCATTTCTTCTATTTGGGGAAGTATTTATGCAGCATTACATGCAGCCACCATAAATAACTGCAATAGCAAGGCTAGTCACATTTTCAAGACATACCTCTCAGCTTATCTCTTCATGATATCGTACAAATGAACCATCCCTCCTTTCTGTAGATTCCTTTCTAGTAAACTTTTCCTACCGCATATGTAACAAATTTAACTCTAAGAACCAGACTAAAATTGTATTACTTAACAGTTTCTGCTGGGCCTTCTGCTGTTTTAATACTCTTTAGCCCATAATTACTGGGTGTCTCTGTTCTGAAGAACTAAGTGCTAAAGAATAATCTTTGGGGTAAGCTAATACATGTGTTAACAGTTAACCCCAGAGTATTTAACTTGTGTACAGTACTTGATAGGTGTTTTATGACATTTGTACTCGAACTATGAGCCTTACTGAACATCTGTAAGTTTATTCATGACTTTTAAAAAATGGATAACTCTAAGAAAGATGTTTACATGAATGATGAATGCCCTTCCTTTGATGTTATGAATGAGGTTTTTATAGTGTGTCTGGGCGTATGTGCAAGGAAGCAAGAAAAGTGTTTCTGGTGAAAAACAGACTTGACAAACATTTGTAATAAGTGATTTTAAAAATTGCTTTAATTGCGCTATGAAGGCAATGCAAAAATAAAATACTCAACACAAAACCATTGTCTCTGCTTGTTATTTGTGTGTCACAGTTTTGAGCATCCTCTGACCTCTCCCCTTTCCTTGTGTCCTGTATGACCAGAGCTTTTGCTGATGCACAGGAGCAGGATTTCACACAGTTAATCTCATCTGGGCTGTGTTATGTAACTAGTGAATGAACACCTGATGCCACTTGTTGGTTTTTTCTGGCCCCTCTGCTGCTTTTCTTACTCTTCTTTTTCAATGCACATAACATGGATTTCAGTTGTATTGTGGTATGGAAGAACATCCCAACCAAAGTGTCATTAACTATTGCTTTAAAGTGTGATGTATTTTCCTTTGAGGCAGCGGGAAGGTGCAGCAGGGTGCCTCCCCTCCAGGTAACCTATTGCCCTGTCTCCTAACTCCATGTTCACATCCTGCTGGGTGAGTGGTGAGGAAGGGGGCAGCACTCAGTGCCTGCCCTGCCTTCCCCTCCTCTGTGATCACAATTGCTGAGATAACTGAGCCTCTCTTGTCTGTGCTGGGTGTAGATACGCAAAGACTCTGCCCTCCCCTCTCTGCAAGGATGCAGAAGTGACATTGTCACTTGAACTTTTGCAGTCATTATGGCCTGGAAGGATGTGTGCTTGGTGTGTATTTGCAAGCTCTGTGGAAGATGACACTGGGATTGTGGATGGTGCCGTGTGCTAGCCAGCCTAGCTGTGTTCCAGTCCTGCCCTGGTGTAATAACATAGTATACTGTGGAGGTGCAGTGAGTTTATTTAAACAAATTATACCAGACATATGAGCTGATTTCTTAAAAAATGTTTCAGGGATAGGCAGGTTTTAGTCATGTGTTTGTTAGGATTTTGCTGGAAGTGCCTGGGGGCATGTTAGAATCATAGAATCATCAAGGTTGGAAGAGATATTTGAGGTCAACCAGTCCAACCATCCACCTCTCATTACCACTGTAACTCCTAAACCACATCACCCAGATGCCTCTTGAACACCTCCAGGGATCATGACTCCACAGCCTCTCTGGAAAACCCATTCCAACATCTGACAGCCCTAAGAGTGAAAGTTTTTTCTAATACCTAATCTGAATCTCCCGTCTCAGTTTAAGGCCATTTCCCCTGGTCCTCTCACTGCAGACATGGCAGGGAAGACTGTCCCCCACCTTATTATGGCCTCCCTTGAGGGAGTTGTAGTGATGAGGTTCTCCCTGAGCCTCCTCTTCAGACTAAACAACCCCAGCTCTCTCAAACATGTTTTCTACATGTGAGAAAACATGAGCTTTCATGAACCTTGTTGCCCTTCTCTGGACACAATCTAGCACTTCAAAATCCTTTATAAAATGGTGTTGGGGGTTAGGTGTCCTTCTTCTAAAAGTTCTGGCTCACTTGTGGAATTTTTACCCGTTAGTTGTAGGGAAAACCTGACTGTGGGTACTTCATGGGTGCTTGAGAACCTGTTCTGCCAGGACGTGTGGCAATGCCAGCCACCACTGCAGAGCTGCTGATACACCTCAGCCACCGGCCCAGGATCTCAACTCATTCCTGCTGTTCCCAGCTGAGTGTTCCTCAGAGCCCCAAAGGAGCTCCAGGACTGCCTGCCTGAGGGGGTTTGTGAAGCAAAGCCTCTCCTCCATCCCTTCCTTTCTCAGCTGAGAAAGCTGTCACAGGGTCCCTGGTTCTGTTTTCTTGCTAATGCTGTAGTTATTGTTGTTTGTTTGCCTCGTTATAAATACTAGCAAAGAACTGTTATTCCTATCCCCAGATCTCTGCCTGAAAGCCCCTTGATTTCAAAATTATAATAATTCGGAGGAAGAGGGTCTACATTTTCATTCCAAGGGAGGCTCCTGCCCTCCCTAGCAGACACCTGTCTTCCAAAACAGAGACAAATGGGCAGCACAGAAGTGAACGCAGCACTTAAGGTGTAGCTCACCAGTGCCAAGTAAGAGGGATGATCACTTCCCTAGTCCTGCTGTCTACTCTATCCCTGATACAGGCCAGGATGCCCTTGGCCTTCTTAGCTACCTGGGCACACACTGGCTCATGCTGCGTCAACAGCACTCCCAAGCTGTTTTCTGTTGAACAGCACAGGGTCTTTTGCTCTTTCCAACAGAGAGTGGGCAGCAATGTGCCAGGGGAATCTTTGCCTCTCATCTAGTTCTGCTCTCCCACCACGGGCAGGAACACGTTCCACTAGACCAGGTTACTTAAAACCCCATCCCTGGGATTCAAGGCCTCAGTCTGGCCTTGAACACTTCCAGTGATGTGGCACCCAACAAGACCTCTGAGCAACCTGTTATAGATGACAATATAATACTGGCTTTCACATTTATAGATTAACTTTTTCTATCACAAGTATTTTGGTATAGTACAATTTATACTTACTTTTAACTGCTTTTGTATAGTGTAATCTGTCAGTTTATGTATACACTGTGTAGTTTATATGAACGGTAATGTGATAAATACATTGTCGTAGACATTAGCAAACTGTAAAAAATAGAGACTAAAAATACCTCTGTGTAACCAACATGAAAACATAAAGAATGGTGCAAAAACACTAATTTTCCTTACATCTGTGGACTTGTTGTAGTGCATCTAAAAAAATCTTGGTATCTCCCAAGGGTAAAACTCACCTCTGGTTGTGTAATGTGAGTTCCTACCTGAGAACCTTCTTTCCCTTCCCGCTTCCCCTTGGCTGTGACCTCCCTGCATCCCCTAATCACCCCTGCCCCCTGGTATAAGAGATGAGACCCAGAGCATTTTGCTCTCTCTCTTGCCCCGGATGGACGACAGACAATAAACCCGGGATTATTTCCAGCAAGTTTGAGCCTCCTGTGTCTAGATACTTTGAGTCCGTGTTGTATCCACTCTAGGACCCCCTCTGCCGCCTGTGTCCCAAGACGAGCAGGCTCACACCACGGGGGATGGGACAGAGGGGTCCCCCGAGAGGAGGATTGCAACATGGACTGACACATAAGCATCCAGAGTGTGAAATAACAGGATAAGAACATGGGAAGACCTTATCTGTAAAATATCCTGCAGTCAGGTCAGAGGTTAAAAATCAAGCAAGAAGAGAACCTGGAATATTAGGAGTTCCCAATGAAGTTTGCATAATAAAACATATGAATATGCATGAGCCTCAGGAATGATACAGTGTAAAGACAAGCAGTTTCAAATATACAGTGTGCTCTTTGGCTGTTTGCCAGGAACACCCCAGGGCTGGACTTTCCCCTCTTGTTTTATTCCCTATTAAACTTTTTCAAAATCCTGAAGAGTCACTCTATTCCTCACAAACCTGTGCCACTTTCCCCAGCTCACAGAATTGCACGTGTGATTGCACACGATATCATGTGAAGCAGCACTTACGGCTGCAGGGAGGGGGAAAGGCTCAATTGCTGTGGAGAAGGGATGGGTGGAGTGCCCGGTTCCGGGAGCCCGAGGGTGCCCGGGGCAGGTCGGCCGCTCCCGGGTGCAGGCGAGGTGGGAGGGGGTGGGCGGAGTAGCCGCGTTCCTGCGTGGCTCGCGGCACGGCACAGGCTCTCCCGGCCTCCCCGGCTTCTTTCGGCATCGGCTCGGAACTCCTTTCCCCGGACGCGGAGCGGGAGCTCTCCCGACGCTTCTCGGGGAGTGTCGTCTGGGTCGGTGCCGCTGCAGGTGAGGGCGCAGCGGGTATGGCGCTTCCCGGCCAGCCGGATCGGAACGGAACAAGGGGACATGGGAGGACACGGGAGACGGAGCTAGAGCTGAGCCTGCAGAGGGCATGCGATTACCGGAAAGAGCCACGGGGAGTATCGGGGCTCGGTGCTGGCTGCCCGAAGGGAGCAGCGGCGCCTTCCTGGAGAGGTGCGGAGCTTAACTTCTAAATGGGAGAGAACCTGAGCACTCCCTGCGCCTCTGTGGGCAACAGAAACCTCGAAGGGAGAAGGTCAGCGGTGGGCTCTGAGGTGACGATAGCGCATTCCGCTCCAGAAACGTCGGGAATGGTGTCCCAGTCACCTGCTACGCAGCAGCCCCAGGGATTTCCCAAAAGACGGCTTGCCTTCGGACACTGAGGAGTGAGCCCTGTACTCCTGGTACCGGTTCTGCGCACCAGCCGATGCGCGAGGGGTGCTGATGATCCTGTCCCTTCTCTCTCTCCTGCTTAGGAAGAGCCCTTCTCCCGACCCTGGAAGGCCCTGGCACAGCTCGCCGATCTCCGTGTTCAGGGGTTTATGTGGGAATCAGAGCAGAATGGATCCGTATCGATATTTCATCTTTAACCAGAGGAACATGGTCGTGCTGGGGATGTTCCAGATAGCCTTCAGCACCATCTGTGTCACCAGTGGGTTCATAGATGGCATTTTCAGAACAGAGTCTCAGCTGGGCAAAACCAGAGCTCCAGTTTGGGCTGGCATGGTAAACTTGTACTATAATTTCTATGCATTGTTTTGTAGTGGTTTTTTTTTCCCCACAGCTACCTACTAGTACTCTTATTGGGGGTGGGAGGGAAGCCAGGATTTCTTGCCAGCTCTTCCCTTGTTTTATGGTTTGAAGTCAGTTAATGAAAGTCTCCTTATCATTATATAAGCAGAAGAGTGCAAGCAGACTTTCCTCTGAAGGAACTAAATCAAATACATTTCTGCTGGATAATGTAGAAAATGGGGCTATAGTGACAATTGACAAAGGTTTTTTTGCAGAAGCATTGTGACCACAGAGAGTCCACCAAAGATTAGGAAGGGAACACCTCATCTTCTCTTCAGGTAGATGAACATCTAGGTGATGATCTCTGTCCCGTAGCACAGTGCCCCTAATTTTGGTACTGCAGTGAGGAGTGGGCAGGAGGTATCCCTGCTCCCCTGGCATTCAGCACCTTGATTTATCCTGCTAAGCCATGCTGCAAGGAAACTACATTTCTTCCAGAGCTGGAAGAGCTCTCTGAAGTGCAGTGGCTGCCTATCTCCTTTCATTAGTATCTTTCTTTCCTCTACAAGATGCATACGGACTTGAGAAAGCAACATGCATTTTTAGCACGTTAATCAAACTTATTCAATCAGTTTCATTATTTTGCCTGACTCTTAAAGCTCTGGTCAGCCATAGCAAGGCTGTGCAAGTAGCAAGTGGGCAAGATACATGTCACCCATGTCCTGCCCCCAGAAGATGCTACAGAAAAAATGAGGAAACAAGAAAAAATGAGCAATTCTTTTCCCATTTTTGATACAGTAGTTACTCTAATCCAAGCCTTGAAATCATGGGCTTTTCATTACTCTGTCGCAGTTTATCTTCTGAATCTGATACTAGACTCCCAAGCTGCCAACTCCTTTTGTGCTCTGCAGGTGATGGGAGTCCCAGGCGTCCTAGCTTTGTTCTCCTCGCAGAGGAAGAATCCAGTTCTTGTAAGCCAGAGGGGTAGATGTGTGTTTGTGTGTATGGGGCAGGGGCAAAATGTTGGGGCAATCAAAAACAGTTTGAAGAGGGAATGAGCTGAGTGGTCCTCCTAAAGAATTAAGAGCTTATTTCTTTGAGTTATCGTCACAAAAGCTGCTGTGTTCATAAGCAAGAGGAGGATGCAGTGTTACCTTGCTTTCTGCTGCAGCAGACAGGCACTGGGCCTAATAAAATGCAAAAATCTGTAAAAACACTTCATTTCAATGCTTTTCTTTTGGTGGTCCTTCATGTTGTTAAGCACTGTGTACACTAAAATATGAAATTAGTTAAGGGGTTTGCATTTCCTAGGCAGGTTTCTCCAGCCATGTAAACTCCAAGGGATGATATTGTATGTAAGAGATCTCTAAGACAAAGTCTTTAGGTAGCACCTCTGATTAATATTCAGGACTCACCTGTAGCTCAGAAGCTCAGTTTTATGAAAACCTCTAATTCTCTAAGTGACTGTTGCTACTGGGGACGTTGTAGTGTTATGGTAGGTCAAAGGCTACCTGTAATGCTTTGTATTTGCCAAAGGACAGCTTTAATTCCTGCTCCACTTCTTTTTCTCACTAAAATTCTCTGTCTGTCTAGGTGAATGTACTGATAGTTGCTTCCATATTCTCTTGTGTTGCCATCCTCATTATAATAGTTTATAGCTTCTTCACGCTGAACTATGGTGAAGAGGAGGAGTTGAGTTCTGCCCCAGTCCATGTTACCCATACTGTAAGTATTGATATCATGATTATTTATGGGGAACATGACACCTTTAATCTGCAAACAGTGCCAGATGTTGTTGCAGCTGGGTCTAGGGGCCTCTCTCATCCCCAGTTCTGCTGGCAACAAGCCCAGATAGACATCCTGGGAGGGAGGAAGCCTGTCTGCTTACAAACAGAACCAGACTTCTAGGTTAGGTTTGGCTGCTTTTGCTTCTTGGTGCAAAGAGGTGGTGTGGGCTGAGCCATGAAAAAATACTAGTACTGCTCAGGAAAAGGTGCTGAGAGTATACCTGGCCTGGTTTGAGACAGTGGTTGCAAGGTTCAAATCTTCCCAACAGGCACATCAGGTGATAAAATTACAGCAGTTACAGGGCAGCTGGTTAAACCTGGTCTTATTTCAAGTGTATCCTCCACAGTAAAGCTGAAGAGAAGGAATGATGCCCTTTTGTATTTCCAATCTACAAACAATTGCTTGCTGTGGGGGTGAAGGTATTCCAGATAGATGAAGCTGATGATTAGTTTATTGAAGGACAAATCAAAATGTCAGGCTTCTATAAGGTGCAGTGCAGCAAGAGGATGTTTCTCATACTCAGTGTGAAGAAGAGCAGCCATTCCTTGGGTTTTTACTTATTGTCAAAGCTATTTCCAAACCCAATGCCATTGCGTAGCATCTCACATTTAATCAACAGCCTTATTTCACTGCTTGCTCTGTTTGAGGTTCATACTTGGTTTGTTTTTCAGAACACAGAAAAACCTTAAATAACACTGACTATAATCAATCTCCTATCATGCGATCATAGCATTCTTGCAGTCATGAGATTATTTTTTGGTGGAGAGCGTCACTTTTTAAATATGGCTTTACCGTCTCCTTTTCTGTTTGCAGAGGTTCATACTCAATAAAATTGTCAAGGGTGCTAACATAGCCATGCTGGCTGTATCCATCTGCAGTGCCTTTTTTGTACTGGCCATGGCTTACTTGGGATGCCGGAGTCTTCCACACTGCTCCTGCTATGACAGTGTAACTGGGATGGTGAGTGAGGAGCCTGGCGTACAAGTTTATTTCTACTGAGTGCGGGTGGGAGGGGAAGAAACCGTGGAGAAGGTGTGTTTTTCTCCTATAAGCCTAGTCTCAGCTCCTACCTCACTCATGCAGGACTAATTCTAAGAAATTAGGTGGGAAGAGTTTTATATTTTTTGTATTTTTTCCTTTATTATCTCCCTCTTAGTTACAGTTTCCAGTAAGATCTAAGTTATCTCTATTCTCCAAAACATTTCTGCTGAAGCTGCTGTGGCCTCATTTCCCATAAATTCCTGCTGTCCTCAAAAACTGTTCCTCTCATCTTTAAGCCAACAGTTGTTTCTGGTGCAGCATTACAAAGACTTACTGGTACTTACACTCTTGGACTTCAAATTCAGTAATAAAAATATCTCCTGTGCTGTGTGTGAAGTGTACTGGTGCTGACATATGTCATTTACTCCTCATTCATAAGAACTCTGCCTCAAGTGATGGGACACATGGCATCTTTGCAAAGTGAGCTCAGTAAATAAATAAATAAACACCAATTACTTCTCTACTAGAGAAATTCTGATGCTGCATTATTAAACATGTGCATCCAACCATATGGTTTGGTAAGGGATTAAAGGGTGCGGGCCACAAGACAGCTGTTCCTGACTAAAGACGCTGAGTGAGTAAGGTGAGGCTGCTTTAAACGTTCAAACTGAAACGTGTTAGGAGGAGTGGACTGTATGGACTTTTAAAATAAGTTCAGGTGTATCTTCTTGATCAAGTTTCCAGGTGAGGTATTTGATGGTGCTGTTTTTTTCATAGGAATGGTTGCAACCTAGTGAGGACCAAAATCAGGCTGTGGAAATGGTTTGTGCTGTACAAAGTGAGTAACTCTTGCCTCCACATATCTGAATGTTCACCAGGGATGAGGAAGGAACATTCTGAATAAGGTTTACATCCCAGGCCAAAATCCTGATAACCGAAAGGAACTCAGGATTTTGTGCAGACATCTATACCGTGTTTAATGGTTTTCTCTTTCTTTTTTCACACAGACTCTGGGGGGACAATTTTTAACTTCACAGATCAGTTTCCAGCCCAGGATGTAGATGCAGAGGAAAGCACATCCAAACCTCCACCATATATCAGAATGACTTGAAAAATGATCGAACATATTACTCAAATGTGGCAAGAGAGGTGCAGGAAGTTCTTAATCTTCAAAGATGGTTATGCGCTTTTCCTTGGCCATTTGAAAAACAAAAACACACAGAACGAACTAGTGAATGTCCAACACTGAGCAGAGATCACAGTGCAGAGGGAAAGATCTGCAGATGATTTTCAACTTTCAGGCTTTGTGTAGTAAAATACCTCATTGCCTCTGGAAAGTGAGAGCATTTTTTCCTCCGGCTTTTTACTTAAATCATGTCTTATTTCAGTAAAATTCATGTAATTTGTGTAGCAGTGCTAGCCTTAGGTGCTTAAATATTAAATACAATCTTTTTTCTTCAACTGCTTTCTCAATTTCTCTCTCTTACTGCATGAATTATTTGTTTAACAATGAAGGATGCACTTCATCCTGGAGCTTCAGAGTGTTTTCATCTTGATAGGAAAGGGGCAAGTAAAGTTTTTGATATGAAACCTTAATAACACCATTCAGATACCTCTGTCAAAATGTGGTTTCTGTGGGGTGTACATGTCTCAATAAAATTAGTGTTAGCACTGAAGTGTAACTACAGAGTGTGGCAGGAACTGGAGCTGCAGTAGCTCCTCTTATAAAGTAACTTGAGTACTCTTAATTCAGTTCAGGTTTTTTGTAGATTGAAAGTTTAAAAGAAATCCTTATTTTAGGGCCCATTTTACTAAAATATATTACAGATCTAGACCAAGGTGTTTTGTTTTATTTTCTCTAGGGGACCTCTTGGTCCTCTAGAGCAAGGAACTACAGCTTCCAGTCAGATTCTGTCATCTCGTGAAGAGCATATAATTCCCATATGTACTTTATGTTTCACTTTTAGGTGAATGTCAAGTGTTTATCTTGCCTGCAGGCTTTGAGCAGGTGAGGAGTGGGCAGGAGGTATCCCTGCTCCCTGGCATTCAGCACCCTGATTTATCCTGCTGAGCCACGCTGTAAGGAAATTACACTGAAGAGCTCTCTGCAGTGCAGGGGGTGGTAGGTGACTTATCCCATGATACAGATTAGTGCAGCATTTGAACAGGGCCTGGAAAATAAGTTCCCATCTTGAGAAAGTGGGTAGTAGAATAAGTCATGCCCACCATGGGGCATGTAACTCCAGGAATGACCTCATATAAAACTTCTCTAATTGCAGCAAGTAAGGTGCCTTTCATGATCCCAAGAGTTGTTCTTCATTTATTTATTTATTTTTTTTTTCTAAAGACTGAAGTCCTTTTTGTAATGCTGGTAAAGGGACTCTAATACCTACGTGGTTTTAAACTAAAGAGGGTAGGTTTAGGTTAGATATTAGGAAGAAATTGTTTGCTGTGAGAGTGGTGACACACTGGCACAGATTGTCCAGAGAAGCTGTGTATGCCCCATCACTGAAAGCTCAAGGACAGGTTGGATGGGGCTCTGAGCAACCTGGTCTAGTGGAAGGTGTCCCTGCCTGTGGTAGGGGGGTTGGGATGCGGTGATTTTTAAGGTCACTTCCAAACAATTCTATGAATATGTTACACAGCTTTTGTTGTAATCTTGAACAGACAAATACTCAGATCAAGAGAGCAGCCCTAACCACCAGGCTCCCTCCACAGCCCTTCTCAAGTCACATATTGCTTCTTTTACCACCCAGCTTCAGCCAGGGATGCTGTCCCCAGATTTGGGTGCTTGGACTATCAGCTTAACTTGGGCCTGCAGGTCCTACTCTGGCAACTGGAGGTTAACTATGTGCCACAGTAGACAAATTTCTCCTAACTTTGGCTCTAAATACCTTTATTAACTTGCCAGCAGAGCCACAGAATGATTGAGGTTGGAAGGGACCTCTGGGGATCACCTAGTCCAACCCCTTCCGATGCCAACCAAAACACATCTGTTGTCTTGTTCATTTGAAGGTGTTAATGTTTAAATTGCTTTAATATATTAATTCAAACATTATGATTCAAAATGGGATGCTGTGCTTTTTCCTCTGAAATAGTGCCTGTCAACAGGCATCAAAGTGCTGAGCGTGACTGCTCTTCCTGTCCTCAGATGCTTCTGCAATGAAATGCTGGGGAGTTTCTTCTTGATTAACATAAACCACTGTTTTTGTACATTAAAAGAAAGTCAGATTCCCTCAGAGGGCATTGGGCTCACTGATAGCTGAAAGCAGCATGGCTCTGATTAGCCTAAAACAGATTTTGCGTTGCTAAAATGCACTGCTCAGACTCTGCATCATTTCTGGGTGGGAGTTATTGTCCCATCCAGAAGTGCTGTTCCACAGCCAGTTGTTGCAGTGTGACATACTGAGCATAATCCAACAGCATTTGACTGCTGGGTGAACAGGACAATTTGCTTTTACTGTGTGCGTGCAGAGCAACATGTCACCGCTCCTTGTTCAAATGCTGTGCTGCTTCCATTGGCTCAGGCAGATAATTCCTGGGATGAGGGTGGCAGTGCTACCACAGCTGCTGCAGGCCAGGTCCTCTTGGCACATCTTTGGGGTACAATCCACATACCCAGCCTGGCTTTGAAAGCCTTTGATCAGTGGCATTTAGTAACAGGCATGGCAGGTACTCTTTTGGATGTGAAACAGCCTTAGCAGCACATACTGAAGTCTTACGGTGTAAAAGAGAAGTATGCTCTATGCTACTTCTAAATAAAAATGTATGCAAATGATTTATCAGCAGCTATAAACTGTCTTATTTCTTACACAGTGATGCAACTATTGCAGATCACTCATAGACATCATTTCAACAGTTCTTTTTGCGAAAGTGGAGGCTTTCATAAAAATGACAGCTGCAGAATGGAAATTGGTGGAAACTGATTATCAGTTTAATGTTAGTCCACTTTGGTTAGTGTTGCAGAAAATATATTCCTGACTGCTGTTTCCAGTGCTATATTACAGTAACTTCCCAGAACCTGCCTGCATCTCCAGGGATATTCCATGGCTTGTGTCACCCCCAGCTTTCACTGGTGGAAGTCAGGAGGAGTTATAGACCCCCGTTACAGACCCCAAGCATTTCGTGCTCACCTTGTGTCAGCATTTCTTGTATTAAGTCAAAGACAAGGCATTTACATCAAAAAAACTTCTTTACCTCAAGTAGGCTGAGACAAACATTACCCTCTTCCCTGATGCACAGAACAAGGCACACAAAATCCTGAGGTGGATAAAAAAGCCTGCTAGCCTCTCCATTAGCAGTGGCCTGAGTTAATCACCTAGTGTAATCAGAAGGTTAATCAGGGAAGCTGATTCTGGAAGTTAATGTTCAACTAAGAGCGAAGAATTTTTTGAAGTCACTTCCCCAACAGATGGGGCAGGAGATGCAGAGGAGGAGGGAAAGAGGAGGGATCTTCATCATGGCGAGGATCAGGGAACCCTTTCAGGCACTTCTTTGACAACAAGCCTGTTTAGGACTTCTTAAATATATATATATATTTGTATTTATTTATATCTGAATTTTTATTTTTCACATATGGTTTGGTGCAGTTTCTCTCCTATGCTGCTGAACTGCTGGTGCTCAGGGTCAGGGCAGTCTTTGCTGGGCACAAATGTCTTTTCCCTTTTCTGGCAAAAGGCAGTGAGAAGCCAGGGGATACAAAGTCACAGTTCTTTTTCTCCATAGCCCACCCTGTTTTAGCATGTAGTTGGAAACTGAAGTAAAGCTTCCCTGGTGGAAGCTTTACTTCCCTGGTGGATGAACTGACCTAAAATATTTTGAGTGGGAAATACATAGGTCTTGGTCACTAAACATGCTGCTGACTGCTAGGGAAACGCAGGCTACAGAAGAGAGCCTTAAAAGAGCTGGGAAAGGACAGGAGTACTATTAATGAATCAAAATATAGATATGTTCTGAAAATAGCAAGTGGTATTTGCCTGCAGCTGAGAGGAGGAATATTCACTTTTTTGGTTTTTTGTTTTTTTTTTTCTTATACTCAGTAGAAACCCTACCTAATATAAAAAGCACAACATTCATTTTTTTGAGTCAGACTGTGTAATTTCTTTTTTCCTAGATCATAGAACCACAGACTTCTTTAGGTTGGAAAGGACCTTTAAGATCATTGAGTCCAACCACAGATTCTTATAGGTCCCTTCCAAACAGATATGATTCCATGATTCTCCAGCACTAACAGCATGTAAGTACAGGGAAAAGTTGTTGAACTTAACTCTGACTTGAGGAGGGAAGCCCATTAAAATAAACAGCATTTTTCAGCCTTCCCTAGCAGTTTCGCCATGAAAACAGGAACTGCTTTGTCCTGCACCTCTTCAGGCCAGTCTAACCCAAGCACATTACCAAACTGCACAGTTTCACTTGCACCTTCTGAGCTGCTCGAGTAATCTCCCCTCCCCTCCCTTACCCTCCCCTCTCCTCCCTTACCCTCCCCTTCCCTCTCCTCCCTTACCCTCCCCTCCCCTCCCTACTTACTGAAGTAAACTGAAAAGCTGTTTTATATATTTTAGGGCCAGTTTAGTCTTTTCCTCTTTGTCTGCCCTTCCTTAACCAAAGAAAGGTCCGAGGGACAGAGGACTAAGAATGACGAGGAGCAAGGTCCCTGAGCATTTCAAGTGTTTTCCTGTACAGGAGTGGGTATGAAGGATATGGGGATGACCAGGGTTTGGAGAGGATAAATGGTTTGCAAATGCAGGTTCTGCTTTGACTCCTGTTTTATAGGCCCAGCGTACTCTTAGTAGTAAAAGACTAAGTATTTTCAGAAAGAGGGAGTTTAGCATATTGCCTCACACCAGTCTTTTTTCTGCCTGTGACCTTTCCAAAGGGGCAGTTGTCCTAGGGTGACTTTATGATGTTTGTATCCCCAGTTGCCTTATGTTACATATTAAGTTCTGCACCTTTATGACTGCCTCTGAGAGTGAAGGGAGGGGGAAGAAGAAGCGTGCAGCTTGTGCTGAGGAAGAACACTCCCCTGCATCCCGCTCCTGGACTGTGATGTCTGCAGCACGGACAGACAGCGGGACAGAGCTTCTCTTTTACTGTTAAGTTAGTTTTTAGCTAGCTGAGGCAGAGGAGTTCCCTGGACTTTTTTTTCCTTTTTTTCTTGGATCTGTTCAAACCTGCTCTGGACTGAAAAAACCCCCAGCCAAACCCCGGGAGCTCACGCCTGTGGCCCACCAGGGCCTGGGCCTCGGCACTTTCCAGCACCAGAGGGACTGACGAGAACCTGAGCGAGCCGAGCTACACCACATGAAAAGGACTTTTCCTGGATTTGCCATCTCATTGAACAGCGAGAGGTTTATTGTTCAATAGTATTCAATTTCTGTTAAATAAACAGGTTTTGTTCCACTTCTCTCCAAGGAAATCTCTTTTCCTGAACCAGTTGGGGGAGGGGCCATTTGAATTTTGCTTTTCTGGAGGAAGTGCATTTGGAGGTTCTCTACCAAATTTGCCCTAAACCAGGACAGCAGTGCAAACAGTAAAAAATAATAATAGAAAAGGAAGTACTGAGCTAAGATCAGGGTCTTATGACTCTCAGTTTTCATATGCTCAGAGCTTCACTCAGCCTGGCCTTGAACACTTCCAGGGTTGGGGCATCCACAGGTGCTCTAGGCAACGTGTGCCAGTGCCTCACCACTCTCAAAGGGAAGAACATCTTCCTAGTAAATGCAGCATATATATTAAATGCAGACCAGGGAGAGGATTATGCTGTTTTGGGATTTTTTTTAAAGATCACTGGTATTGCTGGGAAATTTGTTTTCCATTAATTTCAAATGATTAGCAAAGGATTCAGTAATCTGTGATTAAGCAGTGATGATTCAGCAAGGCAGAAAACAATACTGTCAATAATATCCACCCAGAGATTGTGCACCTCAGGGAATGTCTCTGGATGACCAGTAGTTCTTACTTCCATTCCTCTGAGCTCTGGAAATAGCTTCCAGAACTACAAGGAACTGCCTTTAGCACATGCTTCTATTTTGCAGGTGGGAGGCTGTGCAGAGCCCATTGAATCCCAGAATATCTCTGGAAACTAGCAGCCATTATTCTTCTCTCAATGCTTCTTCAGAGCTCTCACTGATGACACTATTCAGCTGGATAAATGAGGCCTCCTTTGGGCACCCAGCATTAACAAGAGGAAAGAGAAAAAATCCCGCATCCTCAGAGACATCATCAGAACAGTGGGATTTTTTTGTGAGTCCTAGAATCATGACAACTTCTAATGCTATTTATGACTTTAGATTTGGTGTTGATTTGCACAGAAAAACCACACTGCCATTTAAAAGTAACATTACTATTACTTTTAAATAACATATGGCTCTACATTTATCTGGGAATTGCAATCTTAAGCAACATCAGTAAATGACCTCAAAAGCAGGACTCTAGAAAAAAAAAAAAAGTATTAGAATTATACATTCTGGTGAAAGTGAAAATACTCACAGAGGGGACAAGGAATATGACTTCATAGGAATAAGGAATAAGCTCAACAAACTTATAAAAGTTAAAGAGGCTTTATTTCTGAATGAGACTAGAAGAAGAGTAATGGAGGAGATTCCTTTAGGGTCTTTACTTACATCCAAGGGTCAGTTATCACTATTTTTATAAATGTTGTATCACTTCTGGAATCTGAAATAAATACTGAACATGCCTCTGAATCATCAGGAGGGTGCTTCAGATGCCTCAAAATCACCCAAAGTCATTGCAAGAAAACACTGACAGTACTCCAAGTATTGTGACAGTCTTTTTTGTAGAATTTGTCACCCACACAGACAGAAACTAGAAACTCCTTTGACTCCCTCACAACATTTTTTTAACTATATGGAATTATATTATTAATCCTATTATAATTATTGAAAACAAGTGATAACAGTTTGTGGCAAAGCCAGTTTATTAGGTTTCTGGGATTGTGCTTTGCCTGCCCCCAGCACATACAAAATAATCCAACTTTACAGTCTGGTAAAGTTAAAATACACATACAAAGTATTCAGTACTCTCACATCCATTCTGTGGGCAGAACACCACCACTGAAAGCCAGGGAGCAACACTGAATGCTGCATTACTGACCACACTGCCTTCGTGGCAAAACCATTAAAACATGCTTTGTGCTGAACATGGAATTAAACACTTGAGCACCATTTTCACACAATTTTCATGACATGAGGGCCCTTATTTACAAGTTGTGGCAACTCAGATAAAACTTAACAGATGTGCAGGTGGTTCAGCTCAAATTTAACAGTAACACTGCAGCTACATTATTTTCTTACCCCAACCCCCAACCTGATTGACTTTAAAATTCTTAACTCTGGGATATTTTTTATTAAAACAAAACAAAACCAAAAACCCCACACAAACAAACAAAAAACAAACAAACAAAACCCAAAAAACCCAACCAACCAAAAACAAAAACCCTCCAAAACAAAACAAAACCTACCCCGCAAACAAAAAACAACAAAAAATATCACAAAAAAACCCATCAAAACTTGCTGACATATTTAGTATAAAAATAATTAAGAAAGATCCTTCTCAGAAAAAGGATTAAGGACATGAGTGAAAGACAATCTGTCCAACAGGACTGTAAACCATATCTACTCACCACAGTATAAATATCAATTTAAGATCAATCCCTTTCTTAAAGAAATCGTTAAGGACACTAGTGTTAAAAAGGTGATTGTTTCTGAAACAACTCTAAATTCTAGTCATGTAAGGTTCAGAGTGAATACAAAAGCTCCCTTTTACAAGTTTTTCCTAAGCAAAAATACTGTCACAACTGAGGCAGCATTATACAGGAAAAAGTATTACCTTTTGTTTAATTATTTTTAAACATCTTAATCATATTAGACAAATTAAATGCTCTTTCAAAATCCAGAAAAAAGTCTATGCATTTTTTTCTGTACGTATTACAATGAAATTACATCTTAAGAACTGTAATAGTTTACATAATAACAGTTATCTTGTTTCTGTAATTTGTTTCTAATTAGGGTGGCAGCTTCTGAACTAGCCCTTCCATTTAGTTTCTAGTAAGCAACACATGCTACACATTGCAAAAAAAAAATAAATCTTCATCTATAGTTCAAAAACTAAGTCACAAAACACTGTTTGATGTGACATGGATGAAGTCATAGATTGCATTCTATGCATATGTATTCTTATACTTCACTTAATGCAATTATGTGCAACTTAGCACCATTTATATTATGAAACTTGACCTTACTTTTGAAACTTGATCTTCAGATAGGACTGAAAAAAGGCAGTTGCAACTATGAGAACACAGAAAAAGGTGGTCAAGAGGAAAAATTTCCCTCATCTAACCCCTACCAGCTCACATTAGTAATGCCAAGGATGCCCTACATACAGTCACATTATACATGCAGGTTTTTGCTCAAAAATCTGTAATAGATGATGTAGTAGATGGTACTTGGTAGATTTACTCCATATTTCAAGACCAAATTTAGTTTGTGTTTGGACTATTTTAAGAATGTACCATATTTTCAAGCATTCCCATTCCTGAAATATGTTATCAAGTTGGCTTTTCAAGATATTTGAGAAGCATTCATGATCTCTTAATGCACTGCAAACCCCTATCTTTGAAAACCAGTATGCTTTTGCCAAATTCACCCAGTCTTTTACTTACTCAACTGTTTTTACTTACTCTGAGACACTCAGCTCAAATACAGCACCTTCAGAAATATATAATTTAATTTTAGTAAGATCAGGGAACTTATGGACAGATACAAGGTCCCAGTTTTACCCCAAATCCTGTGCTACAGTACTTTCCACAAGTACAAAATAACATAACATAGTTTGGTATCACATGCCAATTACGAAAAATTAATGAAGTTTTAAGTATCAAATAAATGTCTAGAGGTAGGGAGAAGTTAGTAAATTCTGTTACCACTGCCATGAAGAAACAGACCAAGCTCATAGTGGAATGACAGGCCAAAACCTAGCAATTTACACCAACACTGGCAGTCCAAACTTTGACAGAAATGTTTTTGTTTGCTTTTATAATAAAAAGTTACCTGCTTTGTAATTTGCTAGTAGTCACGAAATATTCCTTCATGTACCCACTTGCTGACCCAAAACCTAAGTTCCATGGTTGTCACAAAAGGCTTTCTCCTACATTATTCCAATGCAAGTAGCAATGAAAAGTATTAGTAAACTGGCCTACTATTTATAACCTTACAAGTGATGAGAACAACCTCAGACAGCAACAGCTCAACTAGAATTGCTTTGTCAAAACTAGACAAAGTTAATATGGTCCTATATATTTACAGTGAAACTTTAGTAATTCATAAAGTACAATTACAAAGTGCATGAGCATAAGATGGGCACATCTACGCCAGGAAAAATTAAAAAAAAAAAACAAAAACACATTAAAGTGCCAAAGAGATTTGCTATAATTGCTACCAAAACCAGGAACTTTGCTAAGATCATAATTTTGAAGCACTTGCAAACAATACAAGCTGATAGCCAGTGACAATGTGATCAGTGACAATCCTAACACCAGCAGGATGTGATAGGTTTTGGTTCAGGCTTTATATGTATTTCATCATGATCTGAGGGTTGACTAAGCATTAATGGCTTGTGACTTTTAAGCTTGTGAGCCAGTGTCATGAATATGGCCTCCACATGGTCATTGTCATTGGGGTTCTTGGCAGAGGTTTCAAACAATGGCATGCTGTGAGTGTCAGCAAACTTCTGGGCCAGGTCCGTGGGCACCTGAATAGAACTTCTCAGGTCACATTTATTTCCAACTAGAATCCGTGGTGTATCATTAGCAAGAAGGTGTTGTTTGCATTCCTCTATCCAGGATGGCAGGCTGTGGAAACTGGCAATGTTTGTCATATCATACACAAACACCACAGCATGTACATTCCTGTAGTAGTGCTGTACCATGCTCTTCCTGAAGCGCTCCTGGCCTGCAGTATCCCACAGCTGTATCTGAAAACAGAAAGAGAAGGAGAGGAAAAAATATTTTATTACTCATCTTGGAAAATAACAAAAATTACCTGTAGTGAGGAGTTACATGATCACAGAAATCTACTCTTCTGAATAATCATATTGACAAGTTTGTGCTGAGGAAAACCACTGCATTCACACAATTTTAGAAGCTTTGGCTTTCATAGCTGCTCGCAAGTAAGGCCCGGAGGAATGACACAACTTGAGAGAAAATACATATTTCTGAAAGTTTATTGGAGCCTGTATTTTTTGAGATTTTTACAAAACCAAATCCTGAAGTCTTAGCAATCAACAGCACTTTCATTTGAAAATTAAATATATTACTTCCCAATACAACTCTTAGCTGACATGATTTTTGTTATTGCCAAAAATAATCTCATCCTCCCCAAAATTTTGTTGTTAGCATGGCATTAATTGCCATGTAAAAGTAGGAAGAAATCAAACCATGCTTGATTTCAACACTAACAACAAAAACAGGACATAGAAATCTTTCTTTGCAGTGTATTGGAATTAAACCCTCCTGTGATGAACATCTAACTTAAGCTTATTTAGTGCTTTAACTGGGACCATAGTATTCTTTGTAGTACCAAAGTATGCATAAAAGGTGTCCTGGGTTGATTATGATGTTAAATTGTATCCCCATTTGTCCACCTAACCCAGACAGAGGTTTTGTATTCTTAAAATTCCATCTGAGAGTAAAAGTGAGTGGAAAAGAAGCACCGAGTCTGTTATCAGAGACTGTACTTGCTCCCCCCGCATCGGGAGTTTTGACTACAGCACAGACAGACAACAAGACACAGATCGCCTTGGCTTTCCAACTAGCCGGGGCAGAGAGGTCTTCCTGGACTGTTTTCTTTCCCTTTTTCTGAAACGAATCGAACCTGCTCTGGACTGGGGACTCGGGGGAGCACCGGGAGCTTGCACCCGTGGACTACCGGGAGCCCAGCCTGGGCAGCGGCATTTTCCAGCGCCAGAGGGACTGATAACAGAGCGAACACCCACAGGAAAGAGACCCTCTGAAGTTTGTCATCTCTTCTGAACGGCGAGAGGTTTTGTAATTTGATATCGTTCATTTTTGTGCTGGGTAGTGCTGTGCCTGTGAAATAAACAGGTTTTTTCCACTTCTCTCAGAGGAATCTCTTCCTGAACCGGTTGGGGGGGTGGGAGAAAAGGGCCACATGGGTTTGCTTCCCGGGGGGAGCCCCACTGGAGGTTTTCTCCCAAATTTGCCCTAAACCAGGACAAATACAAAAGGAAAAAAATTAAAAGTATAAACCTCCTGTTAGCTTAACATGTGACTATCATTTCCAGGCACACACCATTCTGGTTCAAACCAGACTGTACATAGGTGCTAGAAGCTTAGTCAGAATAGAAAGACATTCAGAAGAACTGAAATGCTTACAGATTTCTGGGGTGCTGATTGAAACAAAACAAAACAAGTTTTGTAGCACCAGCAGACACTGCAGCATGATGTTACAGTAAGCAAACAGAAATTTTAAATATATTGATCATCCTGTGTAATGGAAGCCTGGAGTCCTCAGACATGTAGAGAATGCTACAGAATTGTACATGGTGATGTTTAAACAAACTTGCTCTTCAGGAGATAAGGAACTGCAATGCACAGCAGTCAGAACCCCTTTACCTACAACACTGCATTACCTGTACACTGTCAGAAATAAATTGGTGTGTGCTCTATCACACACAACTTAGTGATAATGAAATATCTGAAACACATTTGATTTCTTGGGAAAAAGCTGAGTCCTAGCTTCCTGTCTGTCTTGTACAGCTGATCCCTAATGGCTGAGGCAGTTTGATTAGTACTTTGGCTTTTGAGTAGAAAATTTTTCCTCCCTGGGAATGAAAGGAGCTGTCCTTGAGACTCGGAACTCAAGGAATACTAAATGTTCTGTAGACAATGAAGATAACTTTGAAATTTAATCTGTTCTCATTAAAGTTGCAGCCGCTATGTAATTGTTGAAATTGTTCTCCCATTACCATAGCTCTGCATTCCTTTTATCTAAATGTTTCAGTAAAACTTCTCTAGAAATTGCAAATATCTTGAAAGTTGTCTTGTTTACCACTTTAACCAGTGACTTTTTATATTAGAAAAAAAGGAAGCCCAAGTACAAAGGAAATCTGCTGAGAGCAAGAAGATGCATCACTGAGAGGACTACAGTATCACATAAAATTGTTTTAAAAGCTACAACAGTGGAAATATGGTGAAACTGAATAGAAGCAGATGCAAAGTCTTGATAACAGTGACTGACAATAAGGACTTTTTCTTTATGCACAGGGTTCATTAGGCTGGAAATTATTAAAATGGATGACAATCCAGATCCACAAGTCAGTCACAGGATATTATGAATCAGTCGTGTGACAGACTAAAGAAAAAAGAGTAAGAGATGTTGTCAGATGGTGTGACTTTTTCTGCAATACTATGTTCAACCCTGGTTGGACATAATATTGCATCCATACTCAAAAAAAGTCAGATTAGAGCAGGTGGGAATGGCAGCTACTGGTTGCATCAGGGGAACTGAAAGTTTGCATGACAACATCAGAGCAGCTTGGCTTTTGTAGCCTAGTCCAGTTCTCTACAGCTTTTGATCCAGACACTTAGAAGAATCCATGTGCTGCTTCTGGAAGGGTCATCAATCAGCAAGATTGTTAGGAAAAGCAATGCAAGTTGCCCTGGCTCTGATCCCATTAAATGGTACTCAGTTGCAATCTGCCTCATTTTACAGTAACCCCCCCACTTTTTGCCAATGGTATTACACTCTACATACAACTGACAGCATCTCCATAAGTCTACACAACTGGACTGAAACAGGCACCTAAGTTTGTGTAAGATTCAGTCACACACCCAGGTGAGACGTACTTCCAGTTCTGTGCCCTTACAAAACATCATAAAGTCAGGAGACTCACAGAAAATGTTCATGAATATGAGAAATTAAGAGGAAAAATGTCATCTATAAAACCCCTCGATTGGCTTTTGCATGTGGGATTGTTTGAAGTTGCTGTTTAGAAGTTGATCATTGTAGAATTGTACTGGTGGATTTTTTTTGTGTGCTCCAATTGAATGTTTGATAGTTCTGCCAACGAGATTGTCAATTGTCATAAGCATTATCCCTATTTTTGTGGTCCCTTACTCATTTATTTGTTGCTATTGATACATTATTTGTAAGTTTAATAATCCCTTTTAAGTTTGTCACTTTCGAGGGCTTCAAAGCAAATCCCCTCGCCAGCAGCATGACACCACAGCAACACTGCATACTAATTAAGAACTTTCCCTCCAAAACCTCAGTTACCCCAACGACAGCAGACTGTTGGAGGAGAAGGTTTTACCAGCACCCATCAAGAGAAACTATAGGGGTGGAACTGCCAGCAACAAGCCCAGGGGACAGAGATGATAAAAGGAGCTACGAGATTGGAAGATCTGCCCTATTCACTGTGGATTAGCCGCAGCAGAGGACCCGACACTGCAGAATATGGTCTACATCTCTTTCAGAGATTTTTTTTATATAAATTTTGAGTGCAGATTAGCTACATTCACCGCAGTGCTGCTGAGCTCTTGCACTAGCACCAAAACGTCAGTTTGGCCAGAGGATTCCTCAATTGTCAGACCTGGGATTTTTTTAAATTTCCTTTCTTTTTACTTCCTCACCCATTATCCCTTCCTCCCCTTTGTTTTTTTCCCTTAATAAACACCCTAGTTTATTTGAACCCCGAAGTTGTGTCTTTTTCCTCACAAAAAAGAAGTGCAGACTAAAGCAATCCTATGTATAGTCAATACTATGTTAAGGAATCAGTACAGATAAATCTTGGAAAATGCCATATCAAAATAATTTGAGGAAGTTAATTTTTGCAGACAGCTGTGAGCTTACAATTCTCTCCCCAGCTTATTCACAGAGCTTATTCACAGCATGACAATTGGTCATGCTTCAGTTAAGCAGAGATCTGCAAGTGCAGTGACAGCCTTGGGTAAAGACGAGGAAATAAAACTAAAGGTTTACATAACTTGCTTAAACTACAGTTCTTCCAATATTTTATTTATATGCAGCATTCAAGCTTGAAGGGCATTATCAGCTGAGTTATTTGCACTGAGAGGTAAATCCTTTCCCAATGTTGAAAACTGCACAATTTAGAAGTTTATTTTTTTCCTCATTCAAGTTGAACTTGAGGAAATGGTTCCACTTCTGCCTCTCACCCCAAATATTTTCTCTTCAGAAAAACAATACTGAAAATGTTCATGTTAATGGGTGTGGACTGATGAAGTAACATTAAGATTACTATTTCACTGTTAGTCCAGTAACACCCATCTTCAGGGGACCACAGTTTTTATAACAGCCTTTTATAATACGTAGTTTGATTGTTTGGTTTAACAGCATAATTCAGCTAATAAAACTGTTCAGAATCACTTGGTCACATTCTCTAAGAAAGGCAAATGGCATAAAAAATATTAAAAACACTGACTCAGCTATCACACCCCACCTTCTGATTCTGTTCTGTAGATCCAAAAAGACTCTTTCCTAAACAAGGACTCACTTTGTATGTGTGGTTTATAACACACTGGTAAAAACATAACTGGCCTTGATGCTATGACTCCTTTAAAAATACATGGGGAAAAAATTGGAATAGCTGAAAGGTACAGAACATGATGTTCAGACTTCTTTGAATTTCATTTGCATTTTGCTCTTTTAATGTAGGTTGATGAAGACCGACATAATTGTTTTTTTTAATTTTTAATGCTTAGCTCAATTGAGGAAGAGGAAAATTTAGAAGGCAGCAAATACATTTGTTTAAAGTTTTAATTTACTCATCACATTTAGGCATCATATGAACCTGTCAGCCTACTGTACAAGGAAAATACTTATTCCTGTTTCTCGGAATTCTACACAATTGTTGTGTGGGAGACCCTCAGCGAGAAGAACTGTGCTTGTGTTCCTGCCAAATGACACAGCACTTTTCCAGCTGTGAAGGAAACAGTTACTGCTGTAGCAGCACAAGAAAGAATCATCCAGCTGGGTGGGGGAAGGGAGAAGGCAGAAGACACTACTTCATAACCTACTTCGATGCAAGAGATAAAATTCCCTTCAGGGAACAGCAAGGACTACAATAATTGAGTTCATCAGAGCTTCTCTCTCCTGGTTCAACTGGCACTACTGGAGCTGACTGCTACATGTGAGAAAGGTGAAGAGGAGTGAGAGAAGTTGCCAGAACTGCCCAAAATCAGTTCAAACTTGACAACACTCACACTAAGAACTAAGGTCCTGGCCATAATGATAAAATGTAGTCCTTTAATACTGAAACAGAACTTGCAGAAAACAATGTGTTTCAGAACAGCCCCCTTGACTTCTCTACTTTCCTCAAACAGAACTGGTTTATTTTACATATAATATTCTCAAAAATGCAGCAAAATAATCTACAAAAACATATATAACAGAATGGCCTATGTGAAGCATCTAAGAACTGTGGATTATGCTATGTTCTTCTTCACTTCTCTCCAACAAAGGTCAGGCATCATTCAGAGGTGATGAAAATGCCAGTAAGATGGTGCTGACAAGACAATATCCCTCAGGAGGTCTCTCCTCTGTCATAGACAGCAACGGACAAAGGAGTACAAAATTTCAGCTGTCAGATAAGTTCTAGTCAGTGGTTTTACAAAACAAAACAAAACAAAAAAACAACAAAAAAAACCACACCAAAAACTCCTATTCACCCTTCTTTTTTAGTTGAAAAAGAATATGACATAAAAAATCCCACAAGAGCAGGAAAGCAAATTTGCTCACCTTATATATCTTCCATAATTTCTTTAATCAGTAAATAAGCAAGGAAAAACTATATCTTTCAGCTATATAACTGTAAACTGTAATTATAATGCCTGATGATAATAAATGCCCAAGTACAAGCTTAAGACTACTGTTAACTTCCTTTTTCTGCACAACTGAGCTTTCCTCATAGAAACAAACTCTAATACAGAAGCAGATGGGGATTCTGTTTAAAACCATGTTAGTAAAAAACCTGCATTTGTTAGCTGTTACAGAGTATTCTGCAAATGATGGTTACGATCATCACACAGCAAACTTAGCAGAATCCTAAAAATTAGAAATTGAAACACGTTGCTCAATCCTGAACAATATTCAATTTCCTAATATTTTTAAAGCAAAATGGTCGTAACAGTGGCACATACATAGCTCTATGGCGTTGAAGGTGACAACTGTGATGTCCGATGAACAAAGAAGCAGAATTTCTCGAAGGCAACACGCTGCTGATAAAAGGCACAAGTAAGAATAAACTACTGCTAAGAGATCTATATATAAGTCCACTGTACGATAAATTACTGATCAACACTTGACAAAAGATTCAAGGTTTGGCCTATAGTAGGAATCGGTTCACCATCACAGAAACCTACACCGTGAATACCTTTCCAACAAGAGCAAGGCCAAGCAGTGGAACAGCTTCAGGGCAGACAGCCGCGGCTGCTGGCGGCACGACCCCACCGAACTGAACTTTGGGGGTATGGCGGTGACAGGAGGCCTGGAGACCCCTGCGAGGGGTGCGGCCTGGGGCATCCCGCTCTCCCGTTTCCCGGCCGCTGGAGCACTGTGCCAGGCGCGGGCCGGGCGGGGCCGGGCCCAGCGCTGCCCCTCCGCCCGCTGCCCCCTCAGCCCGGGCCGCTCCCGAGGCTGTCCTGAGCCGGTCCCCGAGATACCTTTATGCGTTCGCCGTCGATGGTGACAGCCCGCTCTCGAAAGTCCACGCCGATGGTGGCCTCGGTACGTTGCGGAAAGCGGCCGGCGCAGAATCGGTAGGTGAGGCACGTCTTGCCCACGTTGGAATCCCCGATGACGATGATCTTGAAGATGCGCGAGCGGGCAGGGGGCAGCGCGCCGGGGACCGCCCCGGAGCCCGTAAGGCTCAGCTCCAGCGAGGATTCGACATCTCCCGCCGCCATCGCGGCCCCGGGAGCGCCGCGAAGCAACCCGGGGTGAGGCTGCCGGCCGCCCACGGCATGCGACGCGTTCCGGCCCACCGCGGGCTGGTCTCGCGAGAGCGAGGCTGCCGACCCTCGCGGGCGGGGCCTGCGCGTGCCAGCGCCGGTGCTTGCGTGGCCGCCGCCGGGGTGTGGGGGCGATGCGCGTGCGGCCCGGCCTACTGATGGGGCGGGAACGGGGCCTGCCGGGAATCTCCGAGAACCAGGAACAGCCGCAAATAGCTGGGGCTGCGGCGTGCAGGGCACCCGGCACCCATCCGGGCAGCCTGAATGTCGTGAAGTGTGGAACGTGTAAGATTTTAGTACGAATGGTTGTTCTTTGATGTTTGATCTTTCTCTGCTTTGCGGCCTAATCAATGACAAGGGAGACTTAACGAAACAGCTGCCAAGAAGCTCTAAGTGATGGCCAGGTGTTCCAAAAACAAATTCTTTGTTGGTAAAAATGCCTTATTAGGGTTTGGGGCTGGACAGGCTTCAACGTTTTCAGATCCAGGGGGAGGTTAACAAAGCTTGGGAAGAAGGATGTACTGCTGTGGACAAAGTGGATGTCCCATAGTGCCAAATTTGCCACAATTTTACCAAATTTTACCAAACTTGCAGAATTTGGAGGACAACTGGCAGAACTCCCAAGACAGGGAAGAAAAAAATGATGACGACTTAGTAATTCTGCTGAAATCGGCTCCAGCTGGGCAACAGGTAATTCTGGCAGGGTCAGATCCTGACCAACTTGGAGAGCACCGGCCTGAAAAACTCACCGGCCCAACAAGAGAGAGAGACTGAGCATGGGGTTAATTAGCATGAGAAGTGAGAGAACCAACAGAAGATAGAATACTAACTAATAAGAGAATCATGTGACTTGTAACTAATGAACACTAATCCCTTTGTTTGCTAAAATGTTTAAATAGTAAAAAGTTCTCAGAGTTGGGTGCTTGATCTATTGAGTATCATGGAGTCCCAAGTTTGTGCAAACTGAAATAGATAACGCCTCTCTTGAGTTGTTACTGGCTTGTTGGACATGAGGTAAGAAATCCAGTTTTTATGGTGTCAGAGACTGAAATAGTTCATGCCTAAAACATTTTGCTCATTATAACAAAAACTGTATAAAGAAGCTACAACCAAAGAAGCCTCCCTGAAAATACCTGACTGGGACTTAGGACTGAAAATCATGCTGCTGAGATGAGATAAAGGGAAAACCCATTCTTCAATCACCTGAAACAAATAAGTAAACAAGGAAAAGAATGTGAACCAAATGCAGTTGCCCTGCTAAGAATCATCTCTGGCTTGCTTTGGGGTGGGGGAGGCCATAGCCCACAGACCCATTTGCTGGGAGCAGGTTTGCACAGATCTCCCCCCCAGCCGAGGTGAGGGGAGGAAATTTCAGTGTGTTGTAACCTCTGCTCAGGGACAGTAAACCCATCTTCCCTTACCCAGACTGGCTATGGAACCCCCAACCCTGGGAAGGCCACATCCACGGGACATTCATGTGAGAGGCAGCTGAGCGGGGGGCTTAATCCATCAAACATCCCAGAAGTGACCCCCAGAGTAATTCCTGAGGCCTTGCACCACAGGACTGCACCTGATGCAACAAACCCAGAATCTGTTGTAAGAGACAATGGCAAACTCCACCCCCACCCAGGGGGTGCCTGCATTTTCCTACCTGGCCTGAGTGTATATTAACCCATTGGGTTCTGTGTTTTTTGGGGGGACCTTCACCACCAAGAAGACCAACTGGAGAGGATCAACAGAGCATTGTTTGGATCCACAGAGTGGTGATATTTTCCTTATTCTTTCCCTGTTACTCTCTTTCTGTCTCTCCCACCTATTTTATATTTCTTTCTTGCTCTCATATTTACTATCAAATAAAACCCATACTATTGTCATTGGCATATGGTCTTGTTTGCACCTTAATTCGGGCAGAAGCATTTCTAAGAACCTTAGTGACACATGGGGAGTGTCCAGAGGGAATTGCATTTGTGAGATGTTTGCATTGATGTCGAATACTCAAAGACAAGAGGCCTGGAGTAAGAAAGGGGAAGACCAAGAGCATGAGGGCTTGTTTGTAATTGTGGGAAAGGTTTTCTGTGGTGATGTTGTGACTCAGCCTGTGAGCCTCAGCCTGTGTCTGCAACCCAGACAATGCTATACAGCCCTAGCCCCCTCATCCTTCCCTCATAAGAGAGGTGATCCAGTCCCGTAACATCTTCATAGCCCTCCGCTGCACCTGCTCCTGGAGCTCCATGTCTCTGTTATCCTGAGGAGCCCAGAACTGGACACAGCACTCCAGATGTGGCTCAGGAGGACTAAGTAGAAGTGCAGAAGTGCTGTGCTCCAGCCTGACTGTGCCACTGTTGCCATTTACAGTCAATAAGCAAATTATGCCTGGCAGGGAAGGACACTTGACTCAGAAAGGATTGATGTATCTCAGGAAGAAGGGAAGTATGGCATTTCCCTCACGATCTGTTAACTCACCAAGGGCACCAACACAGGTGGGAGGTAAGACAAAGATATCAAGTTTAAGCAATGTCCACCAGCAAAAATTTTTAAGGAGTTTAACCCCTACACTGAAAAGCATATCTAGATTACAGTAGTTAAGAGAGAACTCTTACCCTAACAGGGCCTTTGCAAACTGATAGCTGAGCTAGAATTCCTAAGGTTTAGATCAGATACCTAATAATGGCCTTTGAGAGTCCTCCTCTTTACACTGATACACGTGCCCCTGATCACTTGGGGTTTCTGCCTACACAAATAAATGATCCTGGGATCCTATAGATCAACTGTCATGTGGTTGAAGGATAGTGGTTTGAACAACCCATTATTATTCATATAAAAACAAGAGGCTAGAGTAAATTTAAAAAGCATTAAATAGTCCTGAGTTCATAGCAACTTCAGTTACAGTGTCCATCTTAATCTTTGTCACTCCCCCTCTTCTGGACCAATCCCTAAGACTGTAGAGATGTTCCTCCACCCTGTAGTCCCCTTCTGAGAAAGGATGATTCCATTTATGGTCTCAAATAATTCATTCTGTCAAAGAAGAAGAGTAATTTTATTGAAGGGAGATTAAAGGGTGGTGGGAGGAGGTTGTGCCACTCTCAGGTTCCTACTGTCCCTTGCACAAAATTGTTCCTTCTTGCCCCCAGAATGTAAAATGTGTTTGCCTAAGGAGAGGAAGCACAAGCAAGCCCATCTCTATAAATCCAATGATCAAAGAAGTAGAGAAATGCTAATTCTAATGGGGGGTACTCTGATTTGGGCTCTGTCTAGTTTGCTAAAAGGTGAATTTAAACAGCTGGGTTTAGGGTCCACACCATAGAATCTGCCAACAGGTCATTTATTTGATTTTGTTCTGGGTTATGCCAGGAGGACCAAAGTGAATCAGAATTACATCTGAGCTCTTCAAGAGCTCTTCTTTTATTTCAACAGCTAGGACTTTAAATGGAAGAATCAACACACCACCTAGTGGCTGATGGCATTCCTAGTCTTTAGTACTCAGCTAATTTTAAATGAACACCCCCAACACCTTGCCAGTGAATTTACCTCACGATGCTGCCAACAGCCACCATAGTTCCTGTTTTGTTAGTACTGAGACACACAGAACCTCCATGGGGAACACAGCTGGCCCCTGAAACAATGGACTTAGTGTAAACAACATAATTTAAACCTGAGAGCTTAAATTTTGTCTCAGATGTGGATGTTTTTATGTGAGCTGTTTCAGTGTGGTACTGGAAATTTCATCACTTCTGCTATTCACTTGAAGCAATAAAGGTGTTGATTAGATCCTTACATTTAATCCAGAACAGACTATTCCTGGATATTCCTTTTCCTTTCTAATACATTTGGAAACCAGCAAATATAATTGAAATCATTTATCATAACAGAACAGATTAAAAATGTTTCTTGCTATAAAAGCATTTTTTTGAAAAAGCTTTTGCTTGTCTTCTTTTGCAAGGACAAATACTTTTAATATGCTCTTCAGATGTGCTCAGTGAATGAACATATAAGAGCCTAAATCCACAGCTATTTTTATTTAGCAGATGTAGAATTTTCTAAGAAAGGGTATTCTGAAAATAGTTGCAAGTCTCTGGACTCAGCATTTCAAGAGTAGATATTTCTGTTGTCTCCTGAAGGAATATTTTAACATGTTACCCCAGTGAAAATGCAGAGTGTTCAATATCTAAAAATTGTGTGTACTAGGTTTTAAGTTAAAGAACAAATTAGGGGGGAAAAGTGCAAGTCTAAGGCTGTCTCATTTACTTGTTTTTTTCTGAAGGGATCAAAAAGTTTCCAGGTGATTTAATGACAAGTAGTTTAAAAACACTTTTAGAATTTCTCTAAAGCTTTTTTTAAAAGCTTTGCAGAGATACTGTACTTCTGACTTCTTGTGGGGCTTTGGTGTGAGGCTTCACATCCTTCATTTTTGCAGGAAAATGTCCTGTGCTTTTCCAAGGGAAAGTTCTACTATTTCCAAGACTTGGCTCTGCGAGTCTTAAGGAGAGTTTGACCCCCCACTAATGTGTTCCTTTATGACAAAATACAGAGGGCAGAAATGCTGGAGCAGCAAAGAACAGCTTTTTGGAGGTGGAGTTAAAGGACCCTGTATGTCAGATTGAAAAAGCAAGTGTTAACACGCCCTGTTTACATCACAAAGTCAAATTGCATTGAAATGAAGTTTTGACACAGATGCTTTACTGCCATTTACCAGAATATGCATTTCATATTCACTTCCATGCCCTTGTTCTTGTCAAAACTATAAAACAAAAAGCTTTCTGAAAATTAAAAGCAATAAAACTTTTATAATTTCTAGTTTGTGCTTGGATGTTGTCCTCATTCCATGCCTGGAACGATCTTTGTGCCTGTCTGCATAGCTCATGTGACAACTCAGTAACTTCTGCATCAAGAGCTTGGCATGTCACAAACCTTTCCCCTGACCCGGACTACACCCAGCTAGCCCTGCATCCACTGGGAGGGGAAGGAGATTCGACAAGGATAAGGTAAAAGACAAAGGAGGCTCTTTCTTCTGGGACAGTCCACAGTTTATTCTTGGAATGTACTCCAGAGAAAAAAGAGAAGGAAAAATGGCAGGGACTTGTAGACTGGGGGGAAAAGGGGGAAGTGGGGGGGAGAACAGAATGGCAACCAATGGGAGACAACCAAAGGAGAGGGGCAAGGGGAAGGAACCAAAGGAGCCAACACACCACAAACCCAGGGGGGGACCAAAAGGGAAAAACCACTCAATGCAAATACAATAATCATCTTAGTGCAATACGACATCTCCCCCTTTTTAATTATATAAAGTTAAAAGAAGGGCGTCAGGCTTATTCTGATTCAGAACATAAATTTGTCTACCACCCCGCAAATCCCCAGCCTTTGAACAATTCACTGAACCAGTCTGCGCAAGCAGGATGGCAAGTGGGATAGGGTTCATCACAAGGTTGAGTGTGAGGTAAGCTTTCTCTAAAGAGGAAAAACAAACATTTTTAAAAGCATGTTAAACGTCAGTGTGTGTTTGCCAGAAAGTAAGCAGATGCTAAGAAGGTTTCCTCTCCCATTTTCTGCCTGCATCATCTTTTGGAAGTGACTGCCACTTGTTTTTCATCCCCTTCTGCTGGAGCTGGGTTTTTGGGAACAAAAGGTTTTACCCAATTTTGGGGTATCCAACCTGCAGGGGTGGACACAAACGTGTAGCTAGGTGACAAGTTCATAGGGGCCCTTGGTCTGCCAGGTTTCAGGGTCTCTGATTAAGACTGGTGGACACTGTGATGACTTAAACTGATTCCCGCTGTTAAAGTGACCACCATAGGACTCATTTTCAAATGAACAATTCAGAAAATTGATGGTAAACATGGCTTTGGAAAGCTTTTGTTGCGGTGACATCCACACTGTTGCACTGCTCTGTCTGGCCAGAACTTGTTTGAGCATCTGGTGGGTATGCTCAATCACATCTTGACCTGTGGGGGAGTGAGGGATAGCCGTCTTATGTTCCACTCCCCACTGCTGGACAAATTCAAGGAACTCCTTGGATTTATATGCTGGGCCATTGTCAGTTTTAATTTCCCTAGGGATCCCCAGCACTGAAAAGGCCTGTACCAAGTGTTGTTTGGCATGCACAGCCTTTTCCCCTGCATGGGCAGAGGCATAAACCACACCTGAGTATGTGTCAATGCTCAAGTGTACATACTTGAGGCGGCCAAAGCTGGGTATATGTGTGATGTCTGTCTGCCACACTTCGCAGCTCCCAAGGCCTCAGGGGTTAACCCCAACACCCAGTGATGGCTCAGCCTGGAGCTGGCAACTGGGACAGGTGGCCACAATGGCTCAAGCCTGACTCGATGTTAGTTGGAACTGACGGATCAGACCTGGCACATTCTGATTGTATTGCTGGTGGCTCAGCTTAGCCTGTTGGAAGATGTCTGAAAGACATATGCTTTTGGCTGTGGCTGCTAGGGAGTCTGTTTTACCGTCTCCTTCTGTGATTTTGCCTGGCAAATCAGTATGTGACCTCACATGCATCA